GCAGATCGGGCGATAGTTGCCAATGTCATGGATGTCCCTTCTTGTGCAGTAGTACAGTCCTGCTGGTTTTCTGTTATTCACTATAACCCGAAAATGATGTCCCAAGTCTGTCAGCTAATGAATGGAAAAACAAAACGTGGTGGAGCATTACAGTAGAGTACTAGTCATCCTTAAAAAGGAATGAAAGGGGATAGAGAGATAATTCAAATGATGGAGCACGTGCTTAGCACATATAGGGACCGAGTTTGATCCCTGACATTTCATAGCTTCATGAAGACTTATGGTCGTAGCCCTGCCAGGAGAGTGTCCCTAACCCAGCGGGCTGAATATCACCACACATGGCCGCAGACCCCCAGCACCATTGGATGTGGTCCCTATTAAAACAAAAAAAGGAATGTAGTACAGATGCATCTTATATTGCATCTGTGATGAGCCTGGAATATTTTGTGCTAAATAAGCCAGGCATAAAACCACACATCTTTTATTATTCCTTTTATAGAAGATGCTCAAAGTGGAGGCTGAAGAGATAGCACATGGGTTAAGGTGTTTTTAACTTTAACCCATGTATATGGGTTAAGGTAATATACTCATGTATATTACCCAGGTTCCATTCCCTCATATAGGTCCCCTGAGTCCCACAGGAGTGATCCCTGAGTAGTGTCAGGAAGAAATAAGCCTTGAGCACTTCCAGGTGTGACCCACAGACAAAAAAAAAAAGTTAATTAAAAAAATGTTTAAACTAGTTAGTTTCTTGGGACTGGGAGAAGGGTAGTTTGAGGTGTAAGTACCAAGATTGAGGGTGAGGAGCATAGTGAAGAATGTTAAGTCAATTACAGTATTATGGTACAATTTATAAATATGTAAAAGCTACTGAATTACTAATTTTTGCAAGGTGTTTTATTTTATGTGAATTATGTGTTTTTTTAAAAGTGAATTAGGGTGCCTTGATGTGAGTCAGGGATGCTAGTGTGATAGATGTGGCCAAATTGGGGGATTTGGAGACATTGGGTTTTAAGTTAATTGAAAGGTTTCACAAAGCTAATATGACAAGTGGGAAATTGCCTAAGAATGTGTAGAATAACTGCTGAGATTTTTAAGAACTCATTTGTGGTTTTTAATAATTTTATAGTAGCAACCTTTATTTTGTGATTTTTTTTTTTCCTCCTAATCATCTTGAGCTAAACTCCAGAATTGGTCAGAATTGGGATATAGAAGGCAAAGAAATGGAAGGATTTGGAACATTGGCAAAGAACATTTGAAATGTAGCCATGGAATATAAACTGGACAGAAAAGGGAAAATAAAAGTATCACCGAATTAACAGTTTGTACGGTGAAAAGTCGTTTGTAGTAAAAGTGATTGAGAGGAGTGAAATGATATGATATAGGAGATGGAAACTTTTTTAATTTGAGGTTGGTATGGCCCAGCAGCATGATTTTAAAGCAACTGAGAGTGTATGTTGCAGAGGGATTGAACTCAGAACTTCATACATGCAGCACAAGCTTTACCAGTGATTCCTAGAACTGTGAGGTTTATTTATGGATTATTGTGTGAGAAATGGGGGCAGAATTCCACCTCTCAACTCTGAAGCATATGGTTGGGAAGGATTAGAAAACATGGCAGATTCCCTTAGCTGACTTAATGAAGTGGCAAAATGTAAAGTAAGAGAAGGGCTAACCTTGGGAAATAAAAGTACATATGAAGCTTCCAAAACAGGTGTCAATAACTGTTGATATTGTCCCTTTTGTTGAAAATATTACCAGAACCATCTTAATTGAGGGCTAGTTTTTTAACTCAATCTGATTTTCTTTGTCTTTGCAAAACCTCAGCAATATGCTGCTTGTGATTTGTCTCGTTTGATATAATTCTTCATACAGTTATTAAAATACTTAAGGTGATACTCGGTTTTATGTTTCAGTGTTTTGTAGTGAGTGGTTTGTATTAGGAAGAAGTTTTGGATTCCAGATCTATCATTCAAACCTGGTTCCAAGTGTGAAGTCTAGTGTAATACCATCGTTTCAGAACCCTAGTTAGAAGCATTCGCTGGCTGAGTACCTTCTGCAAGCAAACATCTGCATGATGTATTTATTGATAGAAATAGCAATGAAGAACCAAACGGTGTTGCTTTGCCTGTGTACATCTTTCTCTCCTTTCCTTTTCCAGAGCAGCGTACACTACATTTCTTAAGTGCTTTGCATAGAATTTTTGAGTTCATCCTGACCTCTGTTAGTACTAGGACTTATCAGGCACAGATGCTATGCTGCAGGCCTTCCGGCAGTTAGTGACTTGGTAGCCGTGATTCATCTTGACCATGTGAGGAGCAGTCTTGCAGGGTCACAGTCATGTTCTTGGGAATCGTTTTATTTTCCAACAAGTTGGACTCATTCAGAGGCCTTTGGGTTTCACTGGACTTTTTCCTCATTTCCTTATTTTATTGATCTTGGCCCCTTAACCTCCCACCCACTTATTACTCATTTCTCGGGGCCTGACTACTCAATAACACTAGAGGAAATATATCTGAAGCCATATGGGTTTAGGAAAACAAACTTAAGAGGAAGAAAAAAAAAGAAAGCAAGAAGCAAACGTGTTCTCTGAACTTCCTTTGTTTATATGATCTGTTTATATGTTGTTAAGGCTGTGTTGTCCAGCTGCCTCCCCATATTTCAAAATGACTAACAATATCTGGAGAACACTCTCAGAGGGTCATGTTGGCATAGTGAATTTAAAAAAAAAAATACTTTGTCTCCCACCAGAAAATATCTCCTTTTGAAGTATGAGAAGGATGCCAGGAGCTTCAAATCTTGAGGTTCCTGAAAGTCCATTCCGCCCCCTAGACTTTTAGAAGGAAGTAATTAGACGAGTCCTTTTTAAAGTTCAGTGCAAATACCTTAGTGTTTTGTTTGGGAGACACATCCAGTGGTACTCAGGGATGTTCTGGCTCAGTGCTTGGGGGTCATCCCTGGCAGTGCTTAGGGGACCACTCATTGCCTATGATTGAGCCCGTGAAACCCTGCTTCCTGCATATAAGCCATGCATACTAGCCCTTTGAATTAGGAATGTTTGCTTGTTGGATGCACTAGTCTATATGACATCTAATGTGTTTTCTATGTAAAGTTAGCAATCCTGAAAACCTGGATGCTAATCTGGCTTTTGTATAAAGGGAATTAAAACATAATTCTACTTGTAGCACTGTCCTGTTGTTCATCGATTTGCTCTAGCGGGCACCAGTAACGTCTTCATTGTGAGACTGTTGTTACTATGTTTGGCATATCGAATATGCCACGGGGAGCTTGCCAGGCTCTGCCGTGCAGGATGGATACTCTCGGTAGCTTGCCGGGCTCTCGGAGAGGGACAGAGAAATCGAACCCGGTTGACCACGTGCAAGACAAACGCCCTGTCCACTGAGCTATCGCTCCAGCCCATTAATATTCCTCCCGGTGGAGTCTCGTTGTACATGTTCAAATCACTTGTATCAGGATTATTCTAGAAAACACCTAGAGTGGAATTTTGCAGGATCTGTTCGTTTTTCCTGTTGGCCCCCCTCCCTTGAAGGACTTGAAAGGGATTAGCATGCGCGTGATGTATGACTGTGTAGTTGTAGAATCCTCACGCTTCCTTCCACTCCACTATAGGAGATAAGAACTAAACAGAGACACAGTTTTTCACATTTAGCTATTTATGGAACTTTGTCTGCTAAGTAACAAACTTAGAAGGGAAAACAAGAAAATAAAGAGCAAGAAATAAAACCTCGGGTTACCAGTTGGGAAATAAATTCCTCTATTGAACATTAGAATATGGTTTCATTGTCATCGGCACTTTCTTCCCGTTTCCGCCTCCGTGGGTTGAAGCCCCTGCTCTGCCCAGCTTCGGTGCTTTCCTCCTAATTGCTTGTTTCACTCCATCTCATGCAGCAGCAGCAGCAGCACCTGAAATAACTGCTCAGGGAGCTCCTAAGTGAATTCTCATAATTCGCCTCGCAATTCTCCCACTTGATGGAGGCACTCTTTTCTCTGGAGTGGTTTACAGTTCCACTTAAGTGGCTGGTGTTTGGGGTCACTGTTGAATGTTTTGTTTGAATATCACTTTCATGATGAATGGAGGGTTGCTGCTTTTAGCTCTGTGGGGTGAAGCCCTTGGTGGTAAGCCTTGAAAGGGAAACGTCGCTCTTTGTAGTGATAACGCTAAATGAAATTACCCTCTTTGTCACTTTGTCCTTTTATCCTTGCAGTCTGACGACCTCAAGTTCTTGTGATTTATTTGTTTTCTCCAATTAAGCTTAGTTGTTTCCTGGACCCAGGTGCATGCTATTTCCGTACTTGGTCATAGCAGAGCTGGGGAGCGTATTTCTGACCTGGAAGTGTGGTTTCTTTATCGCAGAACCACATCAGTAGACCTTCATCCTCCACTTCCTTTGCATTACTTCCTTTTGGGGGACTCAGTTTGTCTTCATTTAACCTTAGGATGATTCATCTGGGACTGAGAACTGGCAATTCTGTAACTACAACATCTTTCTCTATGTACATTAGTATCATTGCACTCACCATGCCGGCCAGCTGATCCTTTCTACAAGTTTACGAAGCACATTCCGTTTACTCCTTCATTCACAGTCACCCAGTGGGTTAAGTCAGTCATTTTGCCTATCTAAGATGGCAGAAATCTGTCTCAGAGATTGCATGTGTCAAGTTGGCAATGCTTCTGAGTTCCTTTGCTTACCAATTTTTGTGTAAAAGATTCTTGAAAATAGTTTGAATGAACCAAAGAGGGAATTTTCCAACAAGCCTCGATTGTTAAAAATCTGGTTTTAGTCTGGTCAGTTGTTAAAACCAAGGGTGCCCATTAGCCACAGAATTTGAATTAATGTGTCCTAGTCAAGAAATTATTTAGGTCATTGTCTGCTCTGCTCTTGATGTGATTAATTTACCGTAAACCGGCTTTTAAATGAGTGGAACTTGAACTGGAAATAATTTCGCTGCTAATTTTTTCCCTTCTTTCTTTCATTCAGGAGGATGGACACCTTGATGACTAGTTCCACTCTGCCTCCCCTTTTTGCAGATGAGGATGGCGCCAAGGAGAGTAATGAACTGGCTCCAGGCGGGTAAGCGGCTGCTTTGGGACCCTGGGTCTTTGCCTCAGCGTCCAGACAAGGCTGGTGACAACTTGCATGTGAGATGCAAAAGAGGCAGCTTTAGGTAGGGTAGGAAGTGTGGTTGTCGGGTTTAGTGAAGGAAATGAGCACCATCGTCAGCTGCTTTGTAATTGTTCTTCAGCTGTCTTCTGCTCTGTTCCTATTCCTCTAAATCCACAGTAGCACTGCACTGGACCTGGCAGGTTTCAGTGGCTCCCAGGTAAGACAGTCTCACAGACACCATTAAGTAAATACCTGCCATGAGGCAAGCTCTGAAAATCAAACACACCTTCTATTTGAATTACCACTCATACTAAAATCATTTTTCCCCAAAGTGTAGATTTGTATTTTTGGTTGGGGAGTTTATTTGGGTTTTGGTTTCTGGGCCACATGCTATGGTGCTGGGGTCCACTTCCAACAGTGTTCAGATGACTAAACAGTACCAGGGACCAAACACGACCCCCTGGGTAGACCCAAGTGCTCTACCCACTATACTATCTCTCAAGCCTTAAATCATACTCTTTTTTTTTTTGTAGGAGTACTGCTATTTATTCAGCCACTGACTAGCTGATTGAATTGGGCATGAACTCCACCTTAATTTTTTTTTAATTTTTTTCTCTTTATATTTATTTATTGAATCACTGTGGGAAAAGTTACTAAGCTTTCAGGTTTAAGTCTCGGTCATACAATGATCAAGCACCTTTCCCTTCACCAGTACTCATTTTTCACCACCAAGAACCCCAGTATACCCCCCCTCCCACCCCTCCAAATGCCTGTGAGACAGATGATTTCTACTTAACTCTTCTCTGCATTGATTACATTCATTATTTCGACAAAAGATGCACCATTATTGTTTAGAATTTCCCCCCAAGCAATCAGAATTGCTAAAAAGCCATTGTGAAATATTTTGTTTTCTATAGCTGGTTATGGGAATCATATAATGTCACGCGGCCACGATTTTGGATTTCTGCAAAGAGCCAGATAATTACAAGATTGGTTTCTGTGTGTCCAGTGTTATGGCCGTGCCAGAGAGCCGCTCGTGGGGGATAACTCATGACCTCGGTAGGGCATGAAGAACGTGCCGGTACCGCCCCCCCTTCCCATGAGACTGCAGTTGCCCCTTCACCGCCGGCTCATACCTGGCTTTCCTATAAGCTCTGAGGCGGTGGCCACCTTGCTGCCAGGGGGGGTAAAGGCATAAGGGAGCAACACCCTTTCCGTCCTGGGGAGGCATGGTGCCGTAGTTTAACGCATGGTCCATTCACTTTTCTTCTGCAAGCTGCTGGGCTCTGGACTAAGTCCTTTTGCCTCTGGAGCCATGGCCATGCCAGAGAGCCACTTTTTAATATACTTTTTTAATATGGTTCTTTATTCAAGGTGCCTAGGAGCATTAACTAATTTCTGTTTCATTTTCTCCCCATCTTCTTTCTCTCTTTTTTTTTTTTTACAGATAAGGGAATATAGAAATGGGCTAAAAGCAAATCCCCTTTGCTTGAAAAATCTCTGTATTCCACTTGAGTTTTTATCTTTTTTATATTTAGAAGTTATTTGTCAAGGAAGAAATATATTTGCCAGTAGATTGAAGTGCTAACTAATCCCTAAGATGAATTATTTTAATATTCTTCAGAGCTCTTTTAAAAAGTCTACATTTTGTCATAGTTTCCTTCCCTTACATTTGTTTCTTTTCTCGTTGATATCTGCCTTTTGACCTTATTATTCAGGCAAAACGGTTCTTTAAGATTTTTCTAAAAGCTGCCTCGTTACTACGTCTAATTCATTCAGTAAAGAATTTTCTGAGCATCGGGCTTGCTCTGCACGCGGCCGATCTGGGATCAGTCCCTGGCATTCCACATGGTCCCTTGGGCACTGCCAAGAGTCATTCCTGAGTGCAGAGCCCTGAGCATGATCAGTGTAGCCCAAAATTAAACAAATAAGTAAATGCAAAGTATCAACTATGTGGTGGATGCTTGTCTAAGTACTAGATATAAAAGAATGACTAAACAGATGAAAATCACATCTCCCGTAGAGTTCATAGTTCACCAGAGAAGTCATATTTTTTAAAAAAAAGTAAAATGCGTAGTGCACTGATAAGAACTCTCAGTTCAGCAGAGAAGAGGGGCAGGGAGAATCTGGGTGCAGTTTTATTTGGGGGGAGGTGGGACTCTGGGGCCATGCCCAGCAAATCTCAGGGCTTATTCTCAGCATCATTTGTGGTACTGGCAATCAAACCTGGGTCAGCTGTGGGCAAGGCGCATGCCCTACCCTCTGTGCCGTTTCTCCAGTCCTGGCCTTAGATAAGATGGCTCAGAAAGACTGTAGTAAGAAAGGGACATGAATCAAGATCTGATGGAAGGAAGGTGACTGGTATGCAGTTATTCGAGGAGAGTATTCTAGCCAGAAGGAAGAGTGATGCTTAAGTCCTCAGTGGGGGAGTTTTTACCTTTTAGAAATAGCCTGGAAGAGGCCATAGTGACTGAATCAGAGGTGACCATGTGGAGGTTAATAGAGGGACATATTAGTCCTTCTCAGACTGTAAAATACCTAAACATTTCTAGAGAAAATTTTGGGTTAAGGCCAGAGGCTCTCCGTGTAATAAACTTGCAGATAAAGCCAGTGCTATACGTGTGAGATCCATACTAGATTGAGCAACAACTGACTAGATTGTGCAGGATCTCATAGGTCAGAACAAGCACTATTTAACTTTTTAATGGATGTGGGAAAGCCGTGGAGGATTTTGAACAGAAGGATATGGCCTGGCTTGTTTTTTATCAATACCCCTGTAGCAAGCTAAAGAGATAGTGCAAAGGTCAAGGCATTTGGATTGCTTGTGGCTGCAGCCACAAAAATGGTCAAATCCCCACACTGGATGTGGTTCCCTGAGTACCACCAGCTTTCCCTCCCACCAAAAAAATACTTCCAGTGAATTTCATATTGAGAAGAGAATAAAGAGAGTAGAGTCTAGCTAGAGGTCAAGTAGGCTCCCAAAATAATTCAGGTGAAAGATAAGGACCTGAGGAAAATTACACTTGACTTTGACTACAAATTTTTCATGATAGCACACATCTAATTGGAGTGAGTTTTTAAGATAACAGGAACAGGGACTATTGAGAAATACAGAATTATTGATATATTTTTAATGGCACACTAAACAGGATCTGTCAGAAAGAGGGGCATGAGATGAGAAAAGAGAGGAGGAAAAGAAAGACTTAAAGGGACTATGGGGCTGACGAATAGATTTCCCAGTGATTTAGATAGGAAACTGAGTGGCTAGGAGAGGGTTACCCACTGTGCTACTCTTCAGGCCGGTCTGGAGATTTTTAAACTTGACGTGTGTATTAGATAGCCAACAAAGATTTCAAACCAGCAGCCTGATTTGAACCTTATTCAGATTCTAAAGCTGGGGAGATCCACAGAAGGAAACTCAGCAATCATCGGCTTGTGACTAATCTGTAAAGCCATCAGGACATTGCTAACATGTCAAAATTCTGACAGTTTTTTTGACAGTTAGTTAAGATGAAGTCTGATAAATGACCTTGGACTTAAATGGAGATCATTGTGACCTTGGGAAGAGTTCTAAGCAAAAATTCTTTGGGTTGCGCTTGAGAGAGAATGAAAGGGTGGGCCCTAGAGATGGCTCAAAGGACTGGAGCACATGCTTTGCAAGTTGCAGGCCTGAGTTTGATCCCAGGCACCACATGGTTCCCCAAGCACCACTCCCAAGCAGTGAGCTGGGAGTAGCCCCTAGGACCTCCAGATGCACTCCCCCCGCCAAAAAAAGGAGGTGGGAAACAGAGGAAGAGAGAATAGAAGAAGAGAAATTGATGATAAGTATAGATGTGTGTTTCTGTTTGTGTGTGTTGCCTGGGATCAGAACCAGGGCCTCCCACGTGTAAGGCAAAAGAGCATAAACAGTTCTTTCCTTTATAAACAGTTGAGCCAATAACTATAAACTGTTCTGAAATGGGATCCAGAAAGTGTTTTGTTTCATTTCAAGATAAGTGTAATAATGCCACATTTGTGTCCTGAATTGGCTAATCTAGAGGAAATTAGAGGAGAGATTGGCGATGCCAGAGAGGGTGGAATTGCTGAGAACCTGTCTTTTAGAATGTGGGGCCCAGGGTGCAAATAGAAGGGTTATTGCTTTTAGCTAAGAGTGCAGACAGTTCACTTACAGGAACAAAAGCCCCCCACCTTTCATTGTTGTTTCACATACCAAATTGTCATATTCATGGTATTTGACATCTTTGACCATCCTTTCTCATTTCCTGTCCATTTCAGTCAGGGAGTCAGGATTGATACTCTTTCCCCAATTTAGTTCTTTTATTTCACTAAAATAAGAATGCCCAAGAATTAGTATTTAAAAATTGATAGCACAGTTGAAATGAGAATGACACTGAAAGAATAAGCTGCCTTGGACATCCAAAAGAATTGAAATGTTGGGGTGTGGGGAAAGCTGCTGTGGTCACACTAGCACTCTGGTGGCCCTTTTTTTGCTCAGGGCATTATTGGCATTGAATTCATTCATGCATTACTTTTTATTTATTTGTGTATTTTCAAAAAAATATCAGAGATGTAGAAACAGCTTCTTAAAATCATCTGCGATTACCCAAAAAGAGAAAGCGGGCAGGGGGGGAGCTCCTCGGGCTGGGGGAAGGAAGCGGGAGGGAAACTGGGACATTGGTGGTCGGAAATGTGAAGAGACGGGTTGACAAACATTGTGTGACTGAAACCCAGTCATGAACAGCTTTGTAACTGTGTATCTCATGGGCGTTCAGTTTTTTTTAATTATCCATTATTTTCTCTCGGAAGTCATAAAAGTATAAATTTTCATTCCCAAGATGATCTGTATCTGCTTTCATTTATTTCTTAGTCCTCTGTAATCTTATTTTATTCCCATAATTTCACTGAAACTGTATTTCGTAATAGTACCAGTAGCCTATAATGGTTCAGATTTAGCATATACTTGTTAGCCTATCTGATTTGATGTCTGCAATTTTTTGCCTGAATAATACCCCTTTTTCTTCAAAGTCTTCCTGCCTTAGCCACTATAACAATATTCTCTCCTAAATCTTGCGTAATGCCCTCCTTATCCTTTCTCAGATCTTCGAACACTTGCTTCTAAACTGATACTGTTTCTGCAGAATTATGTCTGTCTTTTTTTCTCACCATCTCTCTGGGGTCTGTCTAGCATTTCCCCTTATTGCTGTTTTTAATATCAAATACTTAGGAATCAGCTTAACGAAGGTTGTGAAAAGCTTGCACATCAAAAACTATAAATCACGTTTGAAAAAATAGAGAAGGATAGTAGGAAATGAAAAATATTCCTTGTTCATGGACTAGAAGAACTGATATTTTGAAGTGACCACCTTACCCAAAGCATTATACAGATTCAATGCAATTCCCATCAAAATACCAATGGCATTCTTCAAGAACTTAGAACAAATGTTACTAAAATTTATATGGAATCATAGAACTCTGTAAATAGCCAAAGCCGTTCTAAAAGAAAAGATTGGGTAGGTAATGTCACATTCCCTGATCTTAAAGCATTCTGTAAAGCTGTAGTAATCAAAATTGTGTGGTAATAGAATAAGAATAGACTCTCAGATCATTGGAAAAGAATTGAGAGCCCAGAGATAAGCCCTCGGATATATGGGCAATTAATCTGTGATAAGGGAGTTGGATATGTGAAGTGGAGTAAGGAAAGCCTCTTTCAAAAATGGTGATGAAAAAACTGGATAGCCATGTGCAAAAAAAGTTTAGCTGGACTCACATCTCACAGCATATACAAAAGTTAATTCATAGTGGATGAAAGACCTCAAAATTAGACCAGAATCCATCAAATACATTGAGGAAAACATTAGAACTGTCCAGGAATATAGTCCTCAGAGATTCCTTCACTCTATTGATAAAGGCATCGAAAACAAGAGCAATGAGAACATATCAAACTGAAAAGCTTTGCATGACAAAAAAATGTGATCTAAAATGAAAAGGGGTGACATAAGACATTTCTGGAAGGGAATGGGCATTTGCTAATAATAGGGTACAGTAAATCTGTATATCAGCGCCATAAATATTAACACTACTTGTGACGAGATTATCTAAATAAGTACTTTTTTTTTCTGAAGATTAGGGTCAAAGAGATAATATAGATGGTAAGCACTTGCCTTGCACGTGACTGACCCAGGTTTGATCCGCAGCATGACTTATGGTCCTCTAAGCACCAGCAGGAGTGATCCCTGAGCACACAGGGTGTGCTCGTACTGACCACCCACCCCCCTTCCCAGCACTGCCTCCCCCCAAAAAAAAAGATTATAGTTGTTTTGAATAGGAGAATTTGTGGAACCAGTCTACTTAGTCAAGCACAGAAACTATTTTTGAGAACACACTAACAGCTCTGAAGTTATTGTTTACTTTTATCCAAAATGAAGTTGGGGGATTAATTTAAGGATTAGCGTGTGCTTTGCTAGCCATGAAATTTGCCTTGAACCATAGCAGTAGAATTTTTTTTTTTTTGGTATTGAAACTTTTTGTTTTCAATATGAAATTCCAGTGGTATTGAACTTTTCATTTCTGCCTACTTTGCCTTAGGTTAACCCATCCAGAGGTACCTTACAGTAGTGGAGCTACATCATCTACCAATAATCCAGAATTTGTAGAGGATCTCTCCCAGGGACAGCTGCTTCAGAATGAGTCTTCAAATCTGGCAGAAAGCAGTGAACCAAGGCATGAAGATGAGGTAGGTTTAAGGATCTTTTCTGCTTACTGGTCTGCACCATGGTGGAGGGCTTGAGCAGTGCAACCTAGCCGTCACATCAGCAGAAGGGTGGTGGGGGGCAGAGAGAAAGCAACTCCAAACATAGATGCAGGATATCAAAGACATAATGAAATAAACTCTTCCATGGAGGAGCCGGAGAGATAGTACAGAGGTAAGGCGCTTGCCTTGCCTGCAGTCAGTCCAGTTCAACCGGGTTCAATCCTTAGCAGTGTAGCACCAGAACCAGGAGGGAGCCTTGAGCACCATTTAATGTATTATCTCCCACCCCCCAAAAAAAGAAAAACCTCTTATGGAAGGCATAATAAGCAGGCTCAGTCTTGCAGATTAAAGAATAATTGAAACTGAAAATAAAATTCTAGTAATGACTCAAATGGAAGAGAAGCGAGAAATAAGATTTAAGAAAAATGAAACCATTTGAGAATTACCAGACTTAATTAGCAGAGGATATATAAAAAGGTAGTCTAGGTAAAGAGAAAGAAGGAACAAAGAGTCTATTCAAAAAAATAAAAGCTAAAAATTTCTTTAAGCTCTTGCTAAACATAGAAGTCCAGGAAACTGACAGAATAACTAAATTTATAAATACAAAAGACTCACTAAGAAAAACCATTGTTAGCATATCAAAAGTCAGTGATAATGAAAAAAATTATTAAAGGTGCTAAGAAAAATAAATTGTAGCATGCAAAGGGACCCCAATTAGGCTATCATCAGATTTCTCAGCAGAAACTAAGGCTAGAAGAGTGTGAAGTGACATATTCACAGTTCTAAAAGATAAAAACTTTCCAGCCACAAATACTCTATCCAGCAAAATTATTATTTAAATATGAAGAAGAAATAAAAACTTTCTTAGAAAAATAAAAGTTTAGAGTTTACCACTACCAGACGTGTAAATAGGAAATGTAGAAAAAAGGCCGCATGGGGGCCTTGTGGACAGCAGGTATGAGCCGGGGGTGTGGGGGCGACTAAAACCTCATGGGAAGGGGGGCGTTTCAGTCCGCCCTTCACGCCCTACCGAGGCCACCAGTTGCCCCCCACGAGCGGCTCTCCAGCACGGCCACAGCCCGAGAAACACAAGGATTTAATGCAGAACCCAGCAGCTTGGAGCAGAAAAGTGAACGGACTATGCGTTAATTCAGGCCATCAAGTCTGCTGGAGGGGAAAGGGTGTTGCCCCATTCGCCCTCTCCTCTCTGGAAAGAAAGATGGCGGCCACATGGGAGCCTTGTGGACAGCAGGCATGAGCCGGGGGTGTGGGGGCGACTAAAACCTCATGGGTAGGGGGGCGTTCCGGTCCGTCCTTCACGCCCTACCGAGGTCACCAGTTGCCCCCCACGAGCGGCTCTCCAGCACAGCCACAGCCCCAGAAGCACAAGGACTTAATGCAGAACCCGGCAGCTTGGAGCAGAAAAGTGAAAAGACTATGCGTTAATCCAGGCCATCATGTCTGCCCGGAGGGGAAAGGGTGTTGGTCCCTTCTCCCTCCTCCCTCTGGAAAGAAAGATGGCGGCCACATGGGAGCCTTGTGGACAGCAGGCAGGAGCTGGGGGTGTGGGGGCGACTAAAACCTCATGGGAAGGGGGGCGTTCCGGTCCGCCCTTCACGCCCTACCGAGGCCACCAGTTGCCCCCCACGAGCGGCTCTCCAGCACGGCCACAACTCCAGAGCACAGAAACCAATCTCTTAACTATCTGACTTTCAGTAGAAATACTTCCAGGGTCAATAAGTAAAATAGCAGAAACCCAAAACCAACATTTAATTCTTGAACCCAGCTGTAGAAAGCAAATCACTTCACAATGCTTTTTCAGCATGTCTGATTTGGGGGGGGGGGGGGGTAAACTCTAAATAATAGTGGTGAATCTTTTATTGAAACAATGAATCTAATCAAAGCAGATAGAGTGTTAACTAGAATTCATCTGCCTCACAGGGACGGGGAGGGGTGGGGGGTGGGGTTTTATTGGGGTTCTTCATGGTAAAAAATAAGTATTGGTAAAGGGAAATGTGTTTGATATTTGCATGACTGAGACCTAAACCTGAAAGCTTTGTAACCTTTCCCACGGTGATTCAATAAATAAATAAAAAAAAAAAAAGAAAGCTATGGCACATATATAATGAGAAAAAAAATAAAATAAAAACTTTCAAGAAGAATAAAAAAAAAAATGAGAATGCTGCACAGAACTTTGAAGAAGTTGAGAGAATTGCCAGGGAAATCAATCAAATTCCACTGCAGATAGAAATACATAGAAAAATAAACAACAAAAATAGAAATTAAAAAAAAAGAGTGATAGTGCGTAAGCCCTTTAAATCATTCACTGTATCACTCTATCACTGTCATCCCGTTCGTAGTTTGTCGATTTACTCAAGCAGGCGCCAGTAACATCTCTATTCCTCCCAGCCTGAGATTTTAGCAGCCTCTCCTGACTCATCTTTCCCAACGACTGGAGGCTCTTTTAGGGTCAGGGGAATAAAGGTAAAGGCCCTCCCGTTGTTCGTCGATTTGCTTGAGCGGGCCCAGTAACGTCTCCATTGGAGACTTTGTTGTTACTGTGTCTGGCATATCGAATACTCTCGGTAGCTTGCCGGGCTCTCCGAGAGGGGCGGAGGAATCGAACTCGGGTCGGCCATGTTGGCTGCGTGCAAGGCAGACGCCCTACCGCTGTGCTATCGCTCCAGCCCAGGGTCAGGGGAATGAGACCTGTTATTGTTACTGTCTTTGGCATATCGAATACACCACAGGGATCTTCCCAGGCTCTGCCCGTGCGGGCGAGATACTCTTGGTAGCTTGCCAGGCTCTCTGAGAGGCAAATATATGTATTTTTTTTCTCTATGATTTTGTTGCCTGCTGTCTGAACCCCATTGGACATGATGTGGTAATTATGGAAAATGGGTAAGAAGTGTGTTATGATGTGTCGTGCGGCTGGAAAGCAGTTGCGTGGTCCGGAATGTGGCGGCAGTTGGGTAGTGGAGGTCAGCTGCGGGCGCTGGGTCCTTTGGGACGTGGAGGGCTCTCACCCGCCCCACTCTGGGGCGCCCCGAGTGAAAACATTTAAATCATTAATGACCCTAAATGTGGATAGTATAAATTAACCAATCAAAAGACAATGAGTCAGAAAGAGAGGGACAAACATAGAATAACTGCACTCATTTGTGGAATATAAAATATCATAATATGAGACTAACACCCATGGACAGTAGAGACGAGGGCCCAGAAGATTGTTCCACGGTCGGAAGCCTGCCTCATGAGCTGGGGGAGAAGGCAGCTGGGATAGAGAAGGGATCACTAAGTCAATGATGGTTGGAGGGATCGCTTGGGATGGGCGACGTCTGCTGAAAGTAGATAAGGACCAAACATCATGGCCTCTCAGTATCTGTATTGAAAACCATAATGCCCATAAGTAGAGAGAGAACAAGAGGGAAATTGTCTGCCATAGAGGCAGGGGAAGGACTGGGATGGGATGGGGGGGGGGGATACTGGGGACATTGGTGGTGGAAAATGTACACGGATGAAGGGACGGGTGTTCCATCATTGTATGACTGAAAATCAAACATGAAAGTTTTGTAATTGTAGCTCACAGTGATTCAATTAAAAAACAAACGAATGAAACATACTGTAAGCCTAAATATTTAAATGTTACAAACCAAACTAGCATGCTATTAAAATATTTTTCTTTTACACGGAAAAAAAATTAAGGCACAGGATAGGAGCCAGAGAGATAGGACAGGACAGGAAAGCTCTGCTTGCATGTGGCTGACCTTGGTTGGATCCTTAGCACTGCCTGTGGTCCTTGAGTACCACCAGGGGTCTCTCCTGAGCACAGTGCTAGGAATAGCCTCTGAGTACAGCAGGGTGTCCCCCCAAACCCCACCCCAACACCCCCCAAAAAGATATGGTAGCTCAATGAATTTTAAAAAACAGAATCCATCTATATTATATACACAAGAAAGTCCTGAGATCCACACACAAAGAGGTCCTATGAGATCCACACACAGATTCATAATGAAAAGCTGGAGAGAGCAAGATAGTTCAAGCTAATAACAGCAAGAAAAAGACAGGAATTGCCATGGTTGTAGCTGGTAAAGTAGATTCTCAGCTAAAAAAGGTAGTAGCACTGTAGCACTGTTCATTGATTTGCTGGAGTAAGCACCAGTAACATCTCCATTGTAACACTTGTTACTGTTTTTGGCATATCGGCCACTATTTCTGCAGCACCTCCTGAACAATTCTTAAGTAAATGAAGAAACCAAAAAAATTATATAGAGACAACAAAAATGAAGAGACAAACCATCAGAATGTAGTAACAGCCATAAGAGGGACGTTTATGGCAAGACAGGTCCACAGCAATAGAGAAGAAAACTCTCAGACTGAAGAGATAACTCGGTGGGCTAATGTACATACCTTGTCTGCAGGATGCCCAGGTTCAATCCCTGGCATTGGTAGCACTGCTGCCACCCTGCCCCTCAGTACTGCCAGGAGTGACTTCCGAACCAGGAGGAATCCCTGAGTACCACTGGGTGTAACCCAAATCAAACCTGAGTCGCAAATAAATAATCTAATTAGAAGAATTAGAAACAAAAGAGGTCAAAGTACAATAGACACTGAAGAATAGGAAAGGTGATTAAAGGCCTCTCATATCTATGTGCAAACAAACTGGACAACCAAGAAGAGATGGGAAGATTTTTAGGATTTTACAACCTTCCAAGACTAAATCAGAAATACTCAGTTTGAGCAGACCCATCACAAGTACAGAAATAGAAACAGTAATCAAAAATATTTCTGGAAAAGGGAGCTCAGATAGAGAAGGGAACACCAAATAAAGGTGTTGGGAGGATCCTCCCAGGATGGGAGAAGCATGCTGAAAGTAGACTATAGACCAAACATGATTGCCACTCAATGTTTCTTTTGCAAACCACAACACCCAAAAGGAGAGAGAGAACAAAAGGGAATGCCCTGCCACAGAGGCAGGCTGGGATGGGGGCCAACCCAGGTTCCACCACCAGTATCCCATATGATTCCCCAAGCACCACAGGAGTGATTCCTGAGCACCAGGGCAGGAATAACCCCACAGCACCGCCAGGTGTGGCCCCAAAAAGCAAGCAGAATTATGTGTATATTATATTTCTAAGAACAAAAGCCCAGGAGCAGATGGCTTCCCTCGCGAATTCCACCAACTTTTCAATGAAGATATAATAGATAAAAATATCAACAGACACTGAAAGAAAAAAAAGTGTTTGCAAGATTCAACATTTGTGATTTCAAAACAAAACAAACTGGGAATGGAAGTGTTTACCTCAACATAATAAAATTCATATATGACAAACTTAATGGGTAACATCATAGTCAAGGGTGAAAAGTTGGAAGCCTTATTATCTAGGGTCAAGAATAAGACACTCTCACCACTACTCTCAACATGGTTTTGGAAATTAAAGCAAGAACAACAGGGCAAATGAAATAATACGACACAGAAGCCAGCTAAATTCAGCAAGCAAAAACAATACAACTTTGGGGGCTGGAGCAATAGCACACGGCTAGGGTGTTTGCCCTGCATGCGGCCAACCTGGATTCAATTCCCAGCATCCCATATGGTCCCCTGAGCACCGCCAGGGGTGATTTCTTGAGTGCAGAGCCAGGAGTAACCTCTGTGCATCGCTGGGTGTAACCCAAAAAGAAAAAAAAAAAAAATACAACTTTTTAAACCACAGTATTCAAATAAAGTAGATAAACTAAAATTTAAAAAGTGATTTTTAAAAGAAGCAAAACTTATTATTTGCAAATGACCCAATACCACACATAGAAAATCCTAGAGACAAAAACAGACATAAAACATTTAGAAATTATAAATATAGTATAGGGTTATAATACAAAATAAATATTTTTAAAAATCTGATGGATTTATATATAAAAGCAGTGAATAAAAGGAAGAGATTAAGAAAACAATTCAGGAGCTGGAGAGACCGTATTAAAGCACTTGCCTTGCATGTGACTGATCTCAGTTCAGTTGCCAGCACAAAGAGGAGTGATCCCTGAGCACACAGCCAGGAGTAAACACTGAAGTCCATAGTAGCTGGGAGAGAAGAAGGGAGTGGTGGTGGTGGTGGTGGTGGTGTGTGTGGGTTTGTGTGTGTGTGAGAGAGAGAGAGTGTGTGTGTGTGTGTGTGTGTGTGTGTGTGTGTAGGGGGTCGTTTTGATAGTGTGCTGGCTCTGGAACTGGCAGTGGATGCCTTGAGGCTTGTGCACTTATATAGGTGTGAAACCATCCTCCTGAAATTTTACACTACTGTAACCCAATAGGAAATCAATAAAATGTACTTTTCTTAAATTTCAAAATCTAAATGCATCTGCTCTTGATGAGAAACAAATTGCTTTTAATGATGTGAGTGAGCAAAACCCTCTGTGAATTATTTTTTGGGGGGATGGGGAAGGAGTGGTTTGGATCATACCAAGCGATGCTCAGGGCATATTCCTGGCTTCCTGCTCAAGTGACATGGAGGGTGGGAAGAAACGTTGGGATATTAATGGAGGGAAGTTGACACTGGTGGTAGGATATTGATGGAAGGAAGTGGACAGTGGTGGTGGGATATTGGTGGAGGGAAGTGGACAGTGGTGGTGGGATATTGGTGGAGGGAAGTGGACAGTGGTAGTGGAATGTTAGTGGAAGGAAGTTGATATTGGTGGTAGAAGTAGTGGGACCTGACCTGACACTCAGCTATAAATATTTGTAAATCACAGTTCCTCAATAACAACCTTTTAGAATTTAAAAAACAACAACAACATAGGGAGGGGACTGTGGAATCAGGACACATACACAGGCACACAATCACACAACCAAAAAGAGTTTGGAAAGAAAAAAGTGTACCTGCACAAGGGAACCATAAATGCAGTGCTGGGAATCTAACTGGGGTTGATTGCATGTACAGCAAGTGTCTTGTACTGTCTCTCTGGCCCCCTCATGAATGATTTTTAACCCTGCTACTACAGCTTGTCTATTTTTTTGCCCAATACATGTAATGACACCTTGTTCTGATCTTCTGTGACGAGGTCTGCTTCTCTGGCACAATCCTGCATCTGTGCTCTTTCCTCGTCTAGAATAGAACCTTGTGGTGAGCCAGCACTTGTTAAGTGCATACGAAGGCCAAAGCTCATGTGACCATCTCTCTCCTTATTCTCAGTGTGTGGAATTTGACTGAAATGAGCCCTTAGCACAACTCTGTATAGTGTGGTACATAAAACAATGGGTATTTGAACCATCTGGAATCCCTTCTTGAAAACTCGCATTGCAGTCACTTGTTCCTGTGGCACGTTTAGAGAGCCTTGATATTCAAGGGCCTGAGTGGTAGGAAAACCCAACTCATATCCTATTTTGTTGGCTTGTGTTTGTGTTACTTGGAAAATTTGTTGTGCTATTTGGAAAAATTTTGTTGTTGTAATGTGCCATTTCGTTTTGGGTGTTTTCTTGTTTTGTAGCAAAGAAGTAAACGTGGAGGTTGGTCCAAAGGTCGAAAGAGAAAGAAACCTCTTCGAGACAGCAATGCACCCAAGTCCCCTCTGACAGGTTATGTTCGGTTCATGAATGAGCGTCGGGAACAGCTTCGAGCAAAAAGACCAGAAGTCCCGTTTCCAGAAATCACACGGATGTTAGGCAATGAATGGAGTAAACTTCCTCCTGAGGAAAAGCAGGTGATTGTTCCTATACTGACCCTTTGCTGGATTTGGACTGTATTTCAAAAAAAAAAAAATCACCTGTCAGAAAAATGACAGAAAAGCAAAGAATATGCATGGTTGATTCCTCGATTTTTATCAGGGTGCCCGGAATAGAAGAGTGGGCGGCTCCCTGGCCCCTTCCTGGCTTGATACTCATCTGAGTCGGTTCCGTGGGAGCAGTAAGGCCTCGAGGGCCCTTCCAACAAAGCAGCTCCTTCTTGGTTTAACTGTATGCTGAGAGGGTACAGATTTTTTTCCAAAGCACGTTCAGTATTAAGAAATTTAATCTTAACATAATTTGTTCTTCCAAGTTAAATGAAAAGTCATGAATTAAATGAGAAAAGGTCACTTGATAAAATTCCGCAATTCACATAAGATTTTTGTTTAAGAAAAAGATTTTTACTACTTTAGGCCAGGGATATAGCTCAGCAGTAAAGCCCTTGCCTGGGTTTAATCCCTGATACTGGCAAGTGTGGGGGGCCAGGGAGGACACAAAAAACAAGAACAGATGTTTCTGCTTTAAAAAAAAATTTTTAAGTGGATTTCTGGCAAATTTAACATTCTTCGGACAATAAAGCCAGAATTACTTGAACTCTTTCTTTTCTAAGACAGAACTACCCCTGTTGCCAAACTGAAGCAAATTCATTTGTTAGAGAGACTTGAGAGGAATTCAGGACCAGCTAGCCAAGAACTTGTTGAAACACCACAAAAGCAAAGTGATGGTGATGGTGGTGGGTGTGGCTGTGGGGTAAAGATCCCAGTATTCTCCAAAACAGGGAGATGGCTGTATATTTTCTTAGGTCTTATAATCCTTTAAAAAAGATTCCAAGCAGGAAAGAAAAAGAGTTGAAAAATACTCAAACAATCTCAGAGATCAGAGTTAAGTTGCAGCTTGAGGCTCTGTTCATGGGAGCAGGCAACAGAGAGCAGTGAGGCCGCCCACGGTTGTGGCTCAGCTGTCTAATGTGACTGGGACCTGTCCACTCTGTGTGACCTTCCTTCAGTGCTTTGTTGGGGGGATAGCTGTTGACCACACCCAGTGCTGCTTCAGGGACTGTGGCTATGTCAGTCATATGCAAGGTGAGTGCCTTACCCCCAGAACTATTTCCCTGGCTCATCCTTCCATCACTTTTTTTGCAAGGTGCTAAGGATTAAATCCAGAGCGTGCATGCACTCTTAAAGACTCTGAGCTATCCCAACACCACTCTTGGAGGTTTTTTAATTTCAAATTTAGTACACGCTCATATTTTCAGACAGTTTAGAAGTACATGTTTTTATGAAGTGGGCCAGAAAGATAGTACAGTGGGTAGGTATTTCCTTGTACACAGCTGACTTGGGTTCTATCTCTGGCCTCACATATGGTCCCCCCAACATCGCCCCCCTTTCCAAGTATTATCCTTTAGTGCAGAGCCAGGAGTAAGCGCTGAGCACTGCCTAGTGTGGCGCGCGCGCACACACACACACACACACACACACACACACACACACACACAAATAATGATAGTAAGGGAAAAGTAGCAGTAGTTAAGAATACTCAAATAGGAGCTGGGAGAATGTTCAGCAGTTAGGACACATGTGCCCAACCCTGGTTAGATTCTTGGCACCACCTGGTCTCCCCCCAAAGCATTGCCAGGTGTCACCCAGAAGCTCCCAGCACCACCAGGTGGCCTAACTATCAGTGGCGCCTCAGGGCCCAGGCAGCATCGCGTCCTCAGGCCTGGAATCTCCAGTGAGTTCCGCCCTCACCCAAAAGAAAGAACATCCAAATACCCTTTACCTGGATTGTCTTCCCCCCATCCACACTGGGAGGAAGGGGACCACGTCAGGATCTGTGTTCAGGAGTGACCTCTGGCAGTGCTAGCAAGACCATATTCAGTGCTGGGAATCAAACTGGGGTTGACTGTATGCACAGCAGGTGCTTTACCTCCTGTACTGTCTCACCAGTGCTCCTAAACTCTCTTAGCTTTCACCCTTTTCTTCCATGTCTCCATTCACATAAGTGTTCAGTCTTTCCTTGAGCTTGCTAGCTGGTTCTGGTACCTTCTCATGCTCCCCCTCTTCTCGCCACCCTCTTCCCCCCCCCCATTTTAATAGACTTGCTCTCTTACCCTGCCCTAGTATCATTAGCAAAGTTCTAATTTTATATCATCACAGCCCTTTAACGTATCATTCGTATTCCAGTTCTGCTCCTTGACTGAACGTGATTACTCGAATGTTTTTTCCCCTCCAGTTTGGATTCTAGTCAGGTCAGGGTTTGGTAGTCGGCTCTCTAGAGTCCTTTAATTTGGGTGATTTCCACGACCTTTTTTTCTTTTATGACCTTGGTATTTTTGAGAATACAGCCCCTTTGCCCTCCTCTCCCTCTCTTTGTTTGCTTTCAACAGAATAGTGTTCATGCTGGACTTATAAAGTCCCCTCCTGGGTGCTCTGAGGGTGGCTCTCTCAGCCACAACGCTGCCTGGCTGCCGTGTCCATCTCAGTGACATCCAGGCCGGCAGGCAGATGGGCTCCTTTTGTTCCTCACTGGCTCCTTTTGTTCCTCACTCAATTTTGCTCAACCCAGCAAAGTTTGTACTTTTCCTCTTTAATTAAGTAAGCCATCTGAAGGGTGACATTTTTCAAACATGCAAATAGTCTGTCCATAGCTAAATTTTCCCCCTCCATTTAACGTACACTGATGACTGTTCCCTGACCTACCCTTGACCAGGATGTGTTTCCAGTTTCGGCCCTTTTGCTTTACCAGGCATGCTTCAGATTTGCCCTCCTCCTTCGTTTATGCCTGTATCTGTTTGCTGTCTTTGATCACTGACATGAACATATAAAGTCCTTTTTTTCCCCTAATGATTTGTGATTTAGTACTACCCTTAAGAATTCTGGTATTTAAATTGCCCTGGCATTAGCCAGTTGGCTGGTCCCCTACCTCTGGCTTGTGTGCTTTTAGAAGCAATATTTTTATGCTTTATTTCTTATTGATTCATGCGAAGGACACGACATCAAACAATTATCCTGGTAGGTCAGTGAACTTTGTTTAAATAATTAATAATGCAAAGCATGTAGATCAGAGCTCTCTTAGAGTGGTCCATTTTAGGTACATAGGATGAGCTCATTCTTTTTTTATGTTCTTTGTGTATCCCAGCTTAGTTCACTACTCTTCTGGCTCTTAAAAGGCTTATTGATATATGAGATCATTCTCTCTGAATGGGATGGGGATGGAAAAACAAAATAATCTTCCCTTCCTTCCCCTAGGAAGACTCACTGCTCTGTCCTCTTGAGGAAACCAGTGGCTATGTAGAGCTGTCTGTAGGGTTAGAGGGATCACTACAATCATCTTCCTTATGAATCTTTGATGAGAAAGTTCTCATTAGAACTTATCTTCATTCAGTCAGAAAAGGCAATAGTCTCGAAAGACAAAAGTCCCCTATTTTATCATTGAGATATTACATTTTAGTCTATTAAGGTTTCCCCCCCCAGTTCCCATAAAGCTACTCCCTGTATATTTTTCCTTTTATGTTCTAATTGTTGTCCTATTTTCTTCAAATAGATAACTGATATTTTGCTTAAATAGGAGTTGTTTCTTGAATATAATTTCCCATTTCTTTCCTAGCGCTACCTTGATGAAGCAGACAGAGATAAGGAGCGTTACATGAAGGAGCTGGAGCAGTATCAAAAGACTGAGGCATACAAGGTCTTCAGCAGGAAAACCCAGGACCGTCAGAAAGGCAAATCTCATAGGCAAGGTATCAGAACCAGAATGAGCTGGATTTGTAGCTTACAGATGACTGTGCATCCTCTTCTCGAGTGATAAATGGAAAAGATAGTGTTTCTGTCCTTTCTCTATTCAACATTCATTTAATGTAAGCATTATCTTGTTTTGTTTTGTTTTGTTTTGTTTTGTTTTGTTTTGTTTTGGCGGGGCTGGGGTCACACCCAGTAGTGCTCAGGAATCACTCCTGGCGGCTGTGGGACCGTAGAGGGTGCCAGGGATCAACACCAGCTGGCCGCGAGCAAGGCACATGCCCTGCCTGCTGTATTCTCGCTCCAGTCCCATAAGCATTATTTTGGAATTACATTAAAATCACGTTGCGGGGGCCAGAGAAATAGCATAGCATGCAAGATGCTATACTATTCTTGCCTTGCATGTGGCCAATCTGGGTTCGATTTCTGGCATCCCGTATAGTCGCTTGAGCAATGCCAGGAATGATTTCTGAGCACAGAGCCAGGAGTAACACCAGAGCAATGCCCAGTGTGACCCAGAAACCTAAATAAATAAATAAACAAATAAAATCGCATTGCTCTCACTTAGAAATTGCAGTTAGGTTTCCATAACCAGTATTAGCAACAATTAATCTTGTTCCCTAAGACCTCCTTTGGTTTTTTGTGCTTATTTTGAAATTCCCACTTTAGCTATTTCTTTGCATCTAAACAAATCTTCGACTAAACTACTTAACTACCTTGCTTGTAAGACCTCTAACATTCTTATGTGTCATTTCTCCCAGGCCCCAGTGACATTTTTTTTTAGTTTATCCATGGGGGGTATGTGTGCATCTGTGTGTGTCTGTGTGTCTGTGTATGTGTGTGTCTGTGTGTGTCTGTGTGTTTAAATGTAGTAAACACGTCCTATTTCAGATCAGGCTGTTGCCTAGGCATTAAAGATGCAGTAGTGAACAAGATAGATTAGAATCAGGTCTTCATGTATCTTTTTTTCATTATTAAAATCATTCATCGTGGAGACCAAAGAGATAGTACAGAGTGTACCATCCCTGGGTTCTATCCCCGGCATCCCATATGGGTCTCCAGCAAGAATAATTCCTGAGTGCCGAGCCAGGAGTAACCCGTGAGCGTTGCTGGTTATGGCCTAGAAACAAACAAAAAAAAATTAATTTAAAAATTAATTTAAAAAAGATAAAATTGGTCATCACAAAGGACTGAAATGGGACTTGGTAGTAGAGCAAATGGATCCGGCCTACCTCAGTAGTAGGTCATGGATCTGGCCCTAGGTTCAATTCTCAGCATTGCTGCAGATAAACATACAAGTAATTGTTCATCACTCCTGAACAAGAACTGCTGTAAGTTCTTCTTAAGGAAAAACGGTCAGGAAAGCCCCACCCACAGCTAATCACTTGCTCCTTAGTCATTGCTTTCTTGTCTAATAAGTGTGATGTTGACAAACAGACTTTGGTGTGTTTACCGTTCACCATCCCCTGTTTTCCTCAAAAGTAAAAGCTATGCCTGCTGTTTCTTTTGTATCTGATTATGAAACATGTGAGTATGGGTTTCTTCTTACTTCTGCTAGCTGCCTAGGTCATGAATCCATGAGAGAAAATAGCTTTGGTGAACACCTACATGTGCCAGGAGTTTTTATAGCTTAGTAAATTCATATGCTTGGGTTTTGTTATTCTTCTTTTTTTTTTCAGCTTAATGTTTTCTTCTTTCTTATTTTTAGATGCAGCCAGGCAGACCACTCATGATCATGAGGTAATAAGCTTTCTATCTACAGATTATATGTATATTTGTACTGAAATCGTATGAAATGCTTCTGTTAAAAATGAATTGTATTTTTCTATCCTTAATTCAGATTGTCTTATTCGGGGGAGGTCAAGGATTCTTTGTATGTATCAGACAAAAGTCACAAGTCTGTCCTTGAACTATGGCCCCTAACTCCTGACATTCTATATGTGGTCCAAGAACTTTTTTTTCTTTTTTCAATTCTCCTTTAAAGACTGAAAAGGTAAGTGGAATTTGGAGTGAAATATAGAAATGAAGACCAGATGAAAGCTCTAACTTGACTGTAGCTTGTCATCATCTGTGTCACCTTACTTTGAGTGTCAAAATGTTATTTAAGGAATCCAGTATTTAGTTCAGATGAACTATTTATAATGTCAGGAGAGCACAGGTGGCAGAATCTTGGTTTTATGCTTTCCTTTCTCCGTTGGCACATAATCATTTACTAGCCTTCCCCTCCCACCTTGGTTCTGCATCATCAGTTGAATTTAGGCCCATGTATGGTAGCTGTGCTCCATAGAAGGAGCTTTATTAATTTACTTTCATACGCAAATTTCAGCAGTTACATAGAGAACTTTAAGTACTTGTGTATAGGTTTTGGTTTTATGATTGTAGGAAAATTAATTCCTTGCTTTAATGTACTCAGTGAATTGGTGGTCAAATTGCTTGGTTCAGCCCCTATGGAAACAGTATGGAGTCTCCTCTAAAAACTAAGCACCCATATAGCCATTGATGCCCCTTCTTGACAGCTACCCCTAAACCACAAAAGTATTCACTCAAAAAGATATATTCATTGCAGCACCTAGTAGACAGGATATGGGGAAACCCAAATGTCTTACGACAAATCAATGGGTAAATAAATTGTGATATATATTTACATATATATGTATATATGTGTGTCTAAATTCATATTCATATATATATAACACATATATACACACACAATGTAATACTACTCAGTTGTAAGACAAGATGAAATCTTGTAGTTTGCTGCAACACGAATGTAACGTGGGTGTCATGTTAAAATTAGTCAGAGAGAGAAAAACAGATACCAGATAAAAATGACTTCTCTCATCTCTGCATATAGAGACAAAACAAGGGAATATACACTGTCAAACTCTGATGACCCCTTGACCTTGGATTAACAGTGGAGATGGGGGGGGTGAAGATTGGACCCAGGATAATGGTGAAAGGTCATGAACACTTTGATGGTAATGAAGATGTATGGTTTTAACTTGTACATAAAACCCAGAAATGTTAACATTGGGCTGGAGCGATAGCACAGCGGTAGGGCGTTTGCCTTACAAGCGGCCAACATGGCCGACCCAAGTTTGATTCCTCTGCCACTCTTGGAGAGCCCGGCAAGCTACCGAGAGTATTTCGCCCGTACAGCAGAGCCTGGCAAGCTCCCCGTGACGTATTTGATATGCCAGACACAGTAACAAGAAGTCTCACGATGGAGACATTACTGAGCCCGCTCGAGCAAATCGATGAACAGTGGGAGGACCGTGACCGTTAACATTTTTGTAACCATATTATCTAGCTATAATTCTTTTGAAGTTTTATTAAAACCCTCAGGGCCAGGAACATGGCTCAGTGGTAAAGTGAATGCTTTGCATGTGTAAGACTTAGAGTCAGTCCTTGATACTGGGGGGGAGGGCGGGATGGCAGAAAGCCCCAGTAAAGCCTGCTCATTGGCTCATTGCTTACCAAGTCACATTCAAATTCAGCAGTCAGGGATTTTTGTAATTAAGTTCCAGCTTCCCTTTCTAACTACCTTAACTCCCGTATTTCCTATAGAGCTTAGGTGCTAAGAATCTTTCTAATCCCTTTCTCTATTTCATGTCTCTGCTTTCTTTTTGCAAAAAGAAAAATATTTGCCCTCATGTACTTTCTCTTTCTCCCCATCTTATTCTGCCTCTCAAAATTATGGACATCTTTCAAACCCTACTTCAATTTTTATTTTCTCCTTCAGTCTTCCCTTGTTTATTGCAACTTCTTTTAGCCCTGGCAGCTCTGTACTTTTCTCTTTTGCTCTTAACTGGTTATGCAAGTGCTTCTGTTATTCATGCTCTCAAACTGTAATCTCTCTGAAGGCATGTGTGTCTACTTTCAGTCATGTACCCAGCTCTCACCACCGCACATGGTACTCTTGCCTGGGGGAGGTTTTCCATGAATACTTAATTCTTTTTATGCACAATCTACTTGTTGGGGGGAAATGGGAATTTTTACAAAAAGCATTGTCACTATATTTTTTGGGCATATGTTTGGATTGTTGCCATATAAGGGAAATCATTTCTTCCTAACTATTTTGAATAAATTATTTCAGGGGTAATTCTCATATCTAATATGGTATTAGTGACCTTTAAGAGATAAATTTGGGTAGGGGGCAGTGGAGGGAAAAACTACTTAAGTTTATAAGTGAAATGGATTTCTTACCATCCATAAATTAGAAAATAAGAAGTTTAATAATTATCAGCACTTTAGTTACAGCTGTTTCAGTGTTGCTGTATGATGTCACATGTAAGATTAAATAGAATTTTTTCAAGAAACTTTAATTCATGGCAATGAGAAATGTTTAACTATGTTGTTTTTGGGTCACACCAGCAATGCACAGGGGTTACTCCTGGCTCTGCACTCAGGAATTACTCCTGGAGGTGCTCAAGATGCTGGAAATCGAACCCGGGTCAGCCGTGTGCAAGGCAAATGCCCTATCCACTGTGCTATCGCTCCAGCCCCTAAATAGGTTTTTTCGACTTTAAATAAACATTTTTTAAAAAATGAAAGAAAGAAACACTGTGTGGGGCTGGAGAGATGGTACAGTAAAGCAGATGCCTACTTAAGTGGTTGGCCACAGTTTGAGTCTAGGTACCACTGGTCTTGGTGCAGCACTGGAGGTCCTCGAGTGTCACCAGAGTAACCTGAATAATCCCCAGCACCACAAGGCCCAGGCTTCACTGCATCCTCAGGCCCTCACATAAAACTACCTGGAGAGATAGTTTGAAGAGAGATCATACATCAGGGAGGGCACTTGCTTTGCATGCAGGGTTCCATCCTGGGTTCCATCCCTGGCATCCTCTCTGTTCCCCCAAGTACCACCAGGATTAATTCCTGATTGGAGTAACCCCTGAGTATCACCAGGTATGTCCAAAAAAATACAAAAAGCTATCAACCCAATTGGCCTAGAATGCCAGGATCCCCACATACCCCCATTTTCGCAATGCCAGGAAGCAAACCCAGAGCCTCACATATGTAAGCAAATGCTTTACCACTGAGTCACATCCCCAGTCAGTACATTTTTTTGTTTGTTTGTTTGGCTGGTTGATTTTAGGGCCACAACCAATAGTGCTGAGGGCTACTCCCATCTTGACGCTCATAGCTCACTCCCAGGAATTGAACCCAGGCTCCCATATGTAAAGTATGCAGTCCAGCCCCTGAGCTCTCTTACCGGGCCCCAAAAATTTGTGTCTTTAATTAAAATTTAATAATTTTGCTTATTTTCTTTATTGTCAGATCCTTATTTACTTTGTCTTCTTTGTCTGCTCACCCATCAATATGATGAAATTCGTTTGTTTTGGGTCATACCCCTGGCTACCCCATGCTTAGTGCTAGAGGATGCTCCTAGGGGTTCTTAGGGGATGACGCGGCTCTGGGGTCCAAGTCCAGGCCTCCAGCATGCCACACATGCACACCAGCCCTTTGCTCTGTTTCCCCAACCCCCATAAAAAATGCATGCTTCTATTTTTCCCTCTGTGACATCTTCTATACCTTATATATCCTTAATGGTTACAAAAGAGAATTTGGGGCAATAATTAGAGCTCACATTTTCTGCTCCTTTCATCGCTATAGATTTTCTGACCAAACCATATGCAACATTTTTATCTTCACTAAAGTTGATAGTTACAGTCAGAAGATATTTAGCAGATGTCATCAGTTATAAAAGATGCTGCTGATTTGAGAAATGATGCTTTTTATTAAAATAAATTAGTATCGATGAGTTTCTGAAATCTACGGAAAGGAGTATCTGTGATTTTTCGCTTCAGGATTTAGAAGCTTGTTAACCAAAAAAAAAAAAAGGAGGGCGTTAAAAATGCCATCCGGCAATGGGTTTGCCCCATCAAGAGAAAGCTCTCTTAGATTAAGGTTAAAAAGACCAAATTTTTATCAAGGCAATGGCTTTAGCAGAATTATGATTAAGTTACTTTAAGAAGCGAGTGTCTCAGGGCTGGACTGATACAATAGGTAGGGTACTTGCCTTACATCAAGCCAACCTGGATTCGATCCCCAGCACCTCATATAGTCCCCCAAACCCTGCCAGGAATGATCCCCAAGCACAGGACCAAGAGAAAGTAAGCCCTGAGCACCCAAAAGCAAAAAGAGAAAAAAAATTTTAAAAATGCAAGTTTCTTACAAAGTGCCAGAAATGTCAGTTATTCTAAAAACATGCTTATTTCCCTTTATTCATCCTATTTAAAGTAAAATGTCAAATGTATTAGTCGTCAAGCTCACTTCAAAAGTGCAAAGACCTTGGAAATCCTCTCAACTGACTCTTTCATTTTATAGCGAGGAAATTACTTACATAATATGGAAAAACCTGCCCTGAATCATATATTGAACTACTTAGAGGCATAAGTGTCATTGAAACCCAGGGTTCTGTCTCCCAGACTGTCATTCTTCGTAGCACATGCCAGGCTCTCAGCAGTGAACTTAGTGATGGAGCTGGTTTCCTGAGGTATCAGCAAAAATTGTTGCCAGTCAACACAGAAATTCTCTGGTTTGTACATAGTGAAGAAACATCTTTTCCTAAATGAAATAAGTTCTTAAGACATAATACCAAGGCAGAAACCAAAGGGTACATATTAGCGCCAAAGCAATGCTGATCTGAAACTCATTCAAGCCTAGTTGTGGGGGCCCTTCTGCCCAGTACACAATATCAAGAACGTCTCCTCAAGTAACGGGCACTCTAGAGAAATCATATCACACTGAATTTCTGGCCCTCTGCCTAGTTCACAGTAGAATAGGTTCAATTCAAAAGAGCTTCTGTTGCCTTACCATCCACTCCATCTATAGAATGAAAAACAAAGTGAAGAGTATTCTTGTTCCTCTCATCAAAATCCAGCCCCTGAGACCCAAGAGTCGGCTAGTGTTACTGCCCAGGAAGGGTCTACAACTCATGTGAGGACTAAGGAACAACAATTTTGTCTCTCCCTTAATTGACGAGAAATGACAAAATGACACTCATCCTGAACAAATCGGACCCTTTCAATGAAGAAGTAATGAAATCCTTATGATTTTAATCCCTTGAGTGATTCTTAGAGTAGCTTAAGTATAGTGGCGGGTGGGGGAGTTGGGGCAGGAGAATCCCCGTCGTGCCTTGTAATGTACTCAGTAATGTAAGAGCGCTGATGGTTTTTATTACCGCTCTTCCATTAAGTAGGAATTTTCTGTCGCCTCTCAGAGACTGAATGGTTTCATTTAATTGCTTTGGTGTTTCTTATTTTGCACTCTACAAATCTACACCAAGGCAGAGCGTATTAATGTGCCTGCATGGTGCTGTCCTCTGCTCTGAGGTAGTTTGCTTGGTTGGGCCAGCTGAACCACATAAGGGCATTAGACAAGAGCATTGGCTTGGTGTGTTTTGTTTGTTTGTTTGTTTTGCTTTTTGGGTCACACCCAGCGATGCACAGGGGTTATTCCTAGCTCTGCACTCAGGAGTTACTCCTGGCGGTGCTCAGGGGACCATATGGGATGCTGGGAATCGAACCTGGGTCTGCCGTGTGCAAGGCAAACGCCCTACCCCCTGTGCTATCACTCTAGCCCCCAACTTGGTGTGTTTTATGACAAAAAGAATAGGATTGTCCAGCTGCAAAGAAGCAGGGCTTTAAAGAAAGTTCTTGGGATCCTGGAAGTGGGAGCCTGGCCTGCTGAAATAACTGGTAGATAGACTTCTAGCCAACTAATTGCCGCTCTGAAGCAGGAGACTGAATGAGGTAGGCATATGAAGGCCTGAGGCCTTTCTCGAGGCATTTTTGGGACTTCTTCTCATATCTGACATGCCTTATACATGTTGGAATTGTGTCTTAAGTTTGCTGTTCTCCTGCAGCAACCCAGTAACAGTTAAAGTGTAGAAGGTGACAGAAGCAAGAGGAAACCATGGCAAATATGTTAAGATCCATTCTGGAACCATCCTTTCTTGCTCATGCATTATTTCCCTTTGAAATCCACTAGGAACTGACTCTACAAGCTGAAACTGGAACTTTCATTGATAATTTTGTTTAATTCAATTCATTGGTTTATTTATCTGGGACGTGGGGGCCAGATCTGGGGTGCCTTGCAGCTGTGCTGGGGGACCAGACCCAAGGCTCTTGCATGCAAAGTGCGATCCAGCCTTTTGGACTGACTCTCCACTCCTAATTTTAACTTTTTTTTTTTTTTTTACATTTTGCTTATTTACTTATTTCTCTTACGCTTCCCTTCATTGTCTCGGTGATAAAGGGCATCACACACACACGTGGTGCTCAGACACTTGTAGCACTGGCCAGAAATCGTTCGTGGCTGTTGACCTTCCCCACACGTGGGTTGCCCTGCTCCTCGGGGCTGCGTGCTTTCGTTGTGGCTAGCCAGAGATCAGAAACTTTGCCCTGGCACCAGGCCCTTGTTGAATTTCAAATTGTTCTGGGAAACTTCACTTTCTTTAAGGAGTCCAGGAGCAAAAATAAAATGCTCTGTGAGGTCCCTCACATAGTGCTTCGTGTCTCAGCCTTGGTATTTTAGACGCCCCCTCTTGATCCGCTGCCAGTGGCAAGGCGGCTCACACACCCTCCCTGTCCACGGGCAGACGCTGATACGGAAACAAATGCTTGCGCTCTCAGAATTTGCTTTTCTCTTAGACACCAAATCATATTCAGCGTCAACGATAAAAGACTAGTGCCGCAAGAGTAGGAAAGATAGACTCTGTCTCTAACTTTGAAAATGTTTTTATAGAAATAATTTCTACTTTTTAGCGTTATCTTATAAGGATTTGAGATCTTCAAAGTTTGCAAGCAGCCTCTTTAGTATGCATTTCTCATTACTCTTTAGCATCTTGTATTGTGTAAGATTTTAAACACCAGACCAAGACACTTAGCATTTATATTCGTAATGCTTTCGACTTAAATTCACTGTAGAAATTGCAGCAAGTATCTTGGAACAATCATTCATAAGCATTATTGTAGAATCTGTTTTCTAATGGTTTTGTGAGTCTTTATTTTTAATGGCTTATTGTTGATCTAATTTTAGGTTTTGCTACTTTCTATGCCACATAATGTTTGGCTTTCTCTTTTCAGAGGCTAGTCAGTCTTTGTTTTGTTTGATTGTTTTTTCCTGCTCCCGAAGAAAGTCTAAAAGATCACAATTACAGGCTGCCTCATAAATAGGTAAAGTCAAAATAGAAATAGCAGTGGAATACCATTATCACGGCTCATGATTGGCAGATCTTGGCTTAAAATTCTGACTATCCTCTCAGTGAATTTAAATTGGGTAGTCCTGTCTCATGGAGCGTTTTGCATGCATGATCAACAAATGCGACCCCAGTCACTTTCACTACTAATACTGTTGACTACTCAAAGTACAGAGTTAAGAAATGGCTTTCAAATACTCTATTAGGGAAAATTTATGTAGGTTTGTTTTATTTTAAAGTTTTTCTAAGAGGAAAACATCTGTTCCTCTTGGAAAACTCAATACTTAATACTTAATCTGTAGTTATATGAAAGTTCAAGTTCAGTGAAAGGGGAAATATATTTCCCTCCCAGCCTCATGCAAGACAAGCACCTTACCCCTGATCCTGCCTACTCTTTGCAATTATGCAGTACTGTTGATTTTAGCTTCTAAGATTTAACTTTTTTCCCTTTTTGATTCACAGAAAGAAACAGAAGTAAAGGAACGATCTGTTTTTGACATTCCGATATTTACAGAGGAATTCCTGAACCACAGCAAAGGTGATTACCAAAGCATTCTTTTCTGTCCTCAGATATATGACAGGGGATGTAGTTGTCAGGAAAAACTCCTTGGTCAAATGCAGTGGTATTGTTACAAACTCTAGGATGCATCTGGAAAAAGAAATATACTCCATTTCACTCTGCTAAAGGTTGCTGCTACCCTACCAGTGAAGGAAAGCTAGATCAGTGTTGGTCAAAGCTGCTTCAGTCTCTGGATCCGAGGGAATAAACATGCATCTAAAATAACTGCGTAGGCGCAGGAAGTTAGCTCTAAGGGTTGGCACACATGTTCTGCATGCAAGGGTCGCAGACTTAATCCCAAACTCGGGCTGGTCCTCCTGAGGACCCCACCCCCTCAAGCACAGAGCCAAAGTAGCCCCCAGTACTGGGTGTGGCCCCAAACACCAAAATAAATGAATAAAAATGAAAGTTCATCCAAGTTAGTGCTTTCAGACTCTTAGCCTAGAATTCTTTGTACAAATGAAAGCTTACTTGGATGTCTGAAATATAAATAGGTAAGAGCAAAGTTGACCCTCGGTGGTAAAGATAAGGAGCCTGGCCCAGGATGCCCAGGTTAAACCGTTTCTCATTGCGGGTGTTGGGTGGGGCTATTACCGTTTTCCTGTGGCATGGGGGCATGAGACCCTGGGAGTGCGGACTCCTGAGCGTGTGCTTTCAGGGTTGCGAGGCAGTCTCCGCAAAACACAACAGACGGAAGCACCGGAACTGCCGTCGTTCCTTGCAGTCTTAAGCAAGCATGGAATGTGCCCGTATTTTAATGTAGGACTTCAAACAGCTCGAGGGAGCCGGGCGTTCTATTGCCGAAATCGCGGTCTGGGAGGCCGGGGTGCGAGCAGGGAGCCGAGTCGGGGCAGCTGATGGGAGCGCGCTGAGCAGAGCGTCCCCGGGGAGCCGCGGGGGCCCTGCGCGCTGCCCGTGTGACTGGGCGGGGGTCGCCCGCAGCTCGGGAGGCCGAGCTGCGCCAGCTCCGCAAGTCCAACATGGAATTCGAGGAGAGGAACGCGGCGCTGCAGAAGCACGTGGAGAGCATGCGCACGGCCGTGGAGAAGCTGGAGGTGGACGTGATCCAGGAGCGCAGCCGCAACACCGTCCTGCAGCAGCACCTGGAGACGCTGCGGCAGGTGCTGACCAGCAGCTTCGCCGGCATGCCCCTGCCGGGTAAGGCCCGCGTGTCCCGCTCCCGCCCCGGGGTCGGTGTCGGGGGTCCGAGGGGCGGCCCGCCTCGCCCAGGGTGTCGGACGCTCCGGTCCGGGCGGGTCTCCCTCGCGCTCTGACCCCGGCTGTCCCGTTTCCTGGTGACGCTCGTTTGGTATTTAGGAAACGGAAAGCGAGGGGCTGGAGCGGGAGCACGGCGGGGAGGGCGTTGGCCTGGCACGAGGCCGCCCCGGGTTCGATTCCCAGCATCCCATAGGGTCCCCATGGGAACCGCCAGGAGTGACTCCTGAGTGCAGAGCCAGGAGCAACCCCTGTGCATCGCCGGGTGTGACTCCAAAACAAAACGAAAAGAAGAAAGAAAGCGAGTTGCCAGGCCTGTGTAGAGTGCGCTTTCTTCTGTGCAGTTTGGTTGCTCTGCCACTTGGTTTTCACGGGGAGGAAAGGGAGGAAACCTAACAGTTGTGTCTCCTGTAGGATAACCAGGTATCACGAAGGTTAAATAAATACTGCACGGTTTCCAGGTTGAGCATCTTCACAACACAAAACGCTAAAAGAATCAGTGATTTTCGTTGTTGTTGATACCTGTAGCTACTGTACATGCCATTCTGCACTTAGATAGCCCATCTGTTTGCTTCGATAATGTGGGGTGATTTTATTTCTTTGTGGTCTAAAAGTGTCTCCCCTAAAGTTAAAATCTTGTCTGACACAGCCTGGTTGGAGGCAAGGTTTCTTTTGCTCCGGATCTGCGTGACTGTGGGAAGGATGAACTGAGCCTGGAGCTGCGTCTTACTCTCTCCTCTCACCCTAGGAAGTGGAGAGACCCCGACAGTGGACACCATCGACTCGTATATGAACAGGCTGCACAGTATTATTTTAGCTAATCCCCAAGACAATGAAAACTTCATAGCTACGGTTCGAGAAGTTGTGAATAGACTTGATCGTTAAGGAACGGTGAGAACTCACTAAGCTGATGCTTAATGTGATAGCATGTCATCAGAATGAAAATGGGGCTTGATTGCTCACAGAGTATTACTAAACCCTGACATTCCATAAATAAATGGAGACTTGATCGAGCCTCCTGTTTCTTAGTTGCAAGACTCAAATTGAATCAAGACATTTTTTTTCTCAAGCATTCCTTAGCCTGCTTTGATGGGAAGAGCATGGTTTTTGTGGCTGGACCTCAGTTCTAGCTTTGTCACCTATGGGTGGTATTCTTGAAAAGTCAGTTTCCCAAGGCCTTCTGGAGAGTGGGGACCTTAGAGAAAAATCACCCCTCAAATCTCATCGAGAGCAAAATAATGGCACCTAATTGTTCATCTAATGATGATTTACAATAATAATACAGTATATGTATGGAAGCCTACGTAAGTAAGGGGCTTTCGTTCCCCACTCCGCCCACTCATGCCAGAGTAACTCTACTAATGTATATTCGGTCTTGTGTGGTAAGTGAAATAGTAAATGTTATGATTAAGCAGATGAAAACGACGAGTTTAGTTGACTGGAGAGATTGCTCAGAGGGCTGGTATAGCATGTGCTTTGAATATAGGTTCCCCAGGTTCATTCCCTGGACACCACAATCCCCTGAGTTCTGCCAGGAGCAACCCACAAACACCAAGCTGAGACTAACTCTGAGTACCACTGGGTGTGGCCCAGAAGAACAAAATATAAGTAATTATAAGTAAATAAACAAAATATAAGTAAATAAACTCAATAATTTTTTAAAAAAAGAAAAACATTCAACAAATATCTGGTCATATGTGTCATATCCTCTTAGAGGAGAGAAAAGTATATTTCCACAAGAGTCCTGTCTATATAAATCTTTTGATACTAATGTTTAACCATCAAGTAGCACTTCTCAAGAGAAATTGTAAATTGTTCTAGTAGATTCCTAAAGATAGGGTGTCCATGTGTATGCCATTCCATAGTATTGTCCATCCTTTACTCAGTAAATTATTCCAAGCCTACAAGCATATAAACCATGTGGAAATCTGAGGGTGGACCATATGGTGAAGTAGCCATATATGGATACTAAACCAAGAGTAGACAACAGGATGTGCTCTTTAGCCATGGGTTTGTACCTTTATTTGTTCTGGGAGGATGGAAGCATAGTCTGTTACATATTCATATTCTAGCATGGCTTGGACCTTGAGGAACATGAATAAAAATAAATGAAAGTCCCGATTCTTTGTCTTATGGGGCAGCATCTGCTAGCGGCGACAAGAGCAGTAGTCTTTATCCTTCTTGGTCATGCCCTTGGATGGTAATTAGGTTAGGCAATTCATTACACTCTTAGCCTCAGCTGAGCTGAGATGGGGGAAAGGCTTCCTGTCCTTCTAGTGCGTAGCCAGATGGAACGGACTACACTTCTAAGAGATGCCTAGGCTCCCTGCAGAATATAGAAGTGGCATTACTGCTGCTGTTTATGAGGGGAACAGCTTGTAAATCTAGGCCTGGGATTTTCAGGAGCTCATCGTCCTTCTCATTTTCACACAGTGTTTTCAATTAGCACACTTGTAGGCTAGAAAAGAGAAAGCGGGGAAAAACTGCACAAGATGGTGAAAGAACGTAGAAATTGATAGACTGCTGGTGCCTCACCTAGGTCAGCATAGTTCCTGCAAGTTTTGAGTCAAAAGTAGTTTTTCATTTTGACCATGTTGCCAGTAAGAGCTTAACCCAAGCCTAGAATATTACTCCCTTTATCCTTGATTTTATCGCCAGATACTTTGCCCTTGAAAACATACCCATGAACCCTTTCATTACCATAAATTCTTCCACTGTAGTTATACAAGCATAACATAGAATGGTGGCTCCCCGAAAAGCCCGCCCCCCCATCAGAAGAAACAATTAAAAGGACCGTGATTAGCACCACCTTGGCCTCATTATATACTCAGCCAGGACTGCTGTCCCCAGCACTTGTGGTACAATCAATTAATTCGACACGAGCTTGGCAAAAGTTTCATTCGCTCTCAGGAGCCAGTGAGTGAGGAGAAGCCAAGGCAAGTTTCGAGATGCACCAAGGTGCCAAGAGGAACCTGGAACCCCAACAGTTCGTATAGAAAGAGACGAAATTCAAAGAGGAGTGAAATTACTGTAAATACTTGAATACAGAATCCAGGACTAGATCACATGTATCTAAAGTTTGGTTTAGTGGGATTCTAAAACGTTGCTGGAAGAAGTGGAAAGTAAACGAAACAATTCTCTTAGAACAAGGGCCTCAATATAAATATCCAATAGCTATAGTGTGGAAAACACTCTAGTGAGTCCATTATAATATAACTATATTTATTAAATATATTTATCAAACGTATTTATTCTAAAACTAGATCTATAAATTATAGATCTATAATGGAAGAATGTCTGGCTTCTTTTTTGGTGGTGGTGGTTCCAGGGATTGAACTCGATGTCTTGCATAAAACCCAGGGTCTAAGGCCAGAGAGATAGTATAGCTATTAGTGCGCTTGCCCTGATCCTGGTCCCCCACGCCTGCCAGAAGTGATCCGTAAGTACAGAGTCAGGAATAAGCCCTGCGCACCACCGACCGTTACCCAAAAGCAAACATACGTAAATAGATAAAACCCAGGGTCTCTATTGCTGAACTGTTTCACCAGACCCCAACTGTCACTTCATTTGTGGCTCACTAGTACCTCAAGAAAATTAGAGCTAGGAGAAACCTGGGGGCGGGGGGAGCGTGGGAGGGAACAGAGAAAAGCACAGAGGTTCCAGCACTTGCTCTGCACATACCCATGCTGAGTCAGTCACTAGCACTAGTGACCTCTGAGCGCAGAGCCAGGAATAAGCCCAGAGCCCCTCCAGGTACTGCCCAAACAAAAAAGTGGGAGAGATTCCATTTTTGAGAGGTAACCACTTTACATAAATGCATGTTGCTTAAATTTCAGTCGAACCAAATGATAACTGTGTGAGGCTGGAAGGAAGGTGTATTGTTCTGATGTGAGAAAGATTTTTATCAGTGAGAGAAAATGCTCTGTTCATATGCATGCCACAGCCATACACGCCTCACATGCAGTGATCCTTAGACTGAGAGTGGCAGGAAATTGGTTTTGATTAGCTGTACCCTCTCCAGACTGGAGCATTAATTTTCCCTCACCAGAGGTGCCTGGTGGTTGCTTCTCTGCTCACCATCCTCCCACCGCCCCGTCACTGCTGCATTGGCACAGAGCCAACTTCTCGCTGAAATGGGACGGAAGCGTCCCGGTGAGCTGGCTGGTCTGCAGCATTCAGGCATGCTAGTGTCCCCTCCCTGTGCCGCCCGTAGCCTGTCTGAAGATAGAACAACTTTGCTGCTGCTGCTGCTTCTTTCTTTCTTTTTTTTTTTTAAGGTCACTGTGAAGTTGCAAAGTTATTCATTATTGGGTTTCAGGCATACAGGGTTTCCACAGTGACCCCTTCACCAAGTGGCCACCCCCCACCCAACACACCCATTTTCTTCCCACCCATCAGTCTAAATGCTTGCTTCCCAACCCAATTTTTTAAAAAATTCCTTTTCTAGGACTCATCTTTGCATATCAGTGCTTATTTTGTGGCATCTTCCCTCCAACCCCCACCTTTCCCCATTCCTACAGGTCTTAGGGTTCCAAGAGGGTCTGTTGGTGGTTTTGCTTGTGAGGATTGAGAAGCCATCCTTGGACATTTGGACTGAACCCAGGCAGAGTAGCAGTGCAGACGCACCTGCTTGCAGGAGTCACCAGCCCAGGAGCGGAAAGCCTTCATCACAGGAAGCCACCCGACGAGCCGTGAAGGGAACACGTTTCACGTCTTCCTCCAGGACTGTCCTTGTGGAGCTCCGAAGGGCACTGCCCCCCTGCCAGCTCTCCGCATTCCGTGGGAGTGCCCTGCCCCCCCCAGACTAATCCCCGCAGCCCAGGGGAGGCCTTTTCCCCACCGTCATCCTCACGGACCCCTTCAGCGGTGGCGCTCGAGCTCCCTCACCTAGCTGTCTCCCACTCATTTTTAATGCCTTGGGGGAAATGGGTGTGTTCCCATTCCCGCACACACACACACCCAGGTTAGACTTCCATTCTCGTAGCTCTGAGCCTGGTCGCCCAGTAGGGATCTCAGAGAACTTCTCCTTGAACAGACCCAGTCTTCCCCACTGGCCTGTGGCCCAGCGCTGTGAGGGCCCCTCCGCCCGGGCCCTGCCTGCCGCTCGCTGTGCCCCACTTACACCTGCGCCGTCTCAGCCCCAGCACAGCTCCGCTCAGCCCCACTGTTGGCAGCTTTTTTTCTGGAGCTTTCTTTTTCCTTTTTTTTTTTTTTCTTTTTTCTGAGGTAAAGGAGGACACTGGTCACAGAATGGGAAAAGGCATTTGGTATTGGGGGTGGTGGGCAAAGGCCCCAATTTTGTCCTAAGTGATAACTAAGGGAGTTCCTGTCTGCCCTTGGCTGCCCTGGCTCGTGGTCTTAGCTGGGTGTGAGTGGAGTTCTGAATGTTCGGCTTGAGCTGACCGGGGCACAGAGGATTTTGCCATTGTCTTCCTTCTCTAGCAGAACTGCAGCATCCATGGCCACAGGACGGGCTCCCCCGTCTTTGCAAGGGATGTCTTCTAACACCAAAAGGAAAGGGGGGGTTCTGGTTCTCACCTCAGGGTCAGGGTGGGTTTGATGCAGGAGGGCAGGAGGCTGCCGGTTCCAGCCGAGATCTTTGGAACCAAAGCAGGGCATGCTGAGTCCCTGGTCCAGGCACTGCGCCACCGAGGCAGGTGGCAGCTTGCCCCTCACAATATGCTCAGAAGTCCGCGTGTGCGCCAGGAGCCCTGCCGTGCTGCTGCACGCCATCCTGTCTTCTCAGCACCTCCTCACCCCCGTTGCGTTATGAACCCAAAGGAAGGAAACAACGGAACAACCTTTTTATATGGCGTATGTGATCGCACATCAAATTTCCTTGCATGGACGCCCACCCACCCCACCCCCCTCGTACCATCACTTGGCAGTTTCGTAAAGTGCCCGTTGTTGTCTTATTACCCGAAGCCTCGCCAGCTCACCTGCTTCTCCGCGTTTTCTGCTTCCCCTATTATCCCCACTGTTCCTGTCACTTCTCAGACTGCTGAGTCCAAGCTGGAACACGCTGTCTCTGGCAGGACACTGATGCCAGCCTGCTCTGCAAGTTTGATCGGCCTGCGGCCAGATGCCTCCAAGCCTCTCCTTCCTTACTCCGATATTTCTCTCTTCTCCCAAGTGCTAGCTTTGTGCAGCTTTGTTAGCAGTGCTGTTGACCAAGAAAGGCTGAGACTTGGTCCAAAGATAATCGTCCTCCTGATTCTGGGTAAAACACCCGACACGGACTTGAAATGCTCACACATTAAGGAATTTGCAAGACCTCCAGAGATCTGGTGGGTTGAGACCATTTCCACCCCTTCCATAAAGGCAGCCTTGGGGAAATGCTGGGTCCTCCAGTAGACTCGCCGGAGGCGTGGATTCAGGGACTACAAAACTGTCAGATTCTGTATAGGAAATCTGTGTATGTCCCCGCCCCCACCCCCACCCCTCACCCCTCTTGTCTACTCAGGAGGTGGGAAAGAAGTTTCCAAGCTAATTCCTGATTCCCAACTGTCTTGTAGATACCACTTCACTGAATGTTCTTCTCCAGAAATAAGTTGTTGCCTGTTCAGTGTTACAGATTTCTTTTTAGTTAAAGGCAAGGAACAGCTGAGGAGAGTGAGACAGTGTGTTTTATTTCTGACAAAATTCAGTTTCAGGGTGGGGGAAAATGTGTACATGTGTTTAAAAGTGTTGAAATGCCAAGGTTTCTGTACAAGTGTTTTTGTAATTAAACTTTTTAGATTTTCTGTGTTTTTTAAGAAGTCAATACCCTTGCTTGACATTTGCCTCATTAAAACTTTTCAATGTTGAAGCCACCAGATTCCATTTTATCTGTGTTTTAATGAGAGAGGAAAAAAGCCTCTTCATCTTAAAGACTTTGTCAACTCTGCATTAATCGACTCTCTTGCACTTTTCAACTATAACACATGTATTTCATTAATGGCTTTGTATCCAAAATGTCTTAATCTGAGAATTCAGCTCTCTGCTATATGAAAATGCAGTGAGTTGTAGCTCAGTGAGAGGCACTGGGGTTCTGGAGACAGCTTGAAAGTCCAACGTGTTTCAGTTCATCGACTTCAGAGATCTGGAACCACGTCTTCATTCTTTCTTTTTAAGAGAGACACAGATTTTCCTTAAGTGCTTGCTTAAAAATAATAAGATTTAACAGTCAATATCACTTTTTTCTTTTTCTTTTAATTTTTATTAGTGAAACACCATGAGTACAGTTGTAGACTTACAAATTTTTGTGCTTGGGTTTCAGTTATACAGTGATCAAGTACCCATCCCTCCACCGGTGCCCATTCTCCACCACCACTAATCCCAGTATGCCTCACACCCCCATCCCACCCTGCCTCTGTGGCAGGGCACTCCCTTTTGTTCTCTCTCTCCAATTTCTTTAACCAGTCATCTGTTCTCGGGCACTCAGGTTTTTTCCAGATTCTGGCTATTGTAAACAGTGCTGCAATGAACAAACAAGTGCAGATGTCACTTCGACTATACTTTTTTGCCTCTCTGGGATATATTCCCAGGAGTGGTATTGCCGGGTCAAATGGGAGCTCAATTTCTAATTTTTTGAGAACCGTCCACAAGTCGATATCATTTTTAAAGGAAGTTTATGACCTAATTTACCTTGCTGTTGTGTTTTGTTTGGGGGCTGCACCCAGCCACTTCCGACTTATGGCTAAGGACTTGGCCAGCAGTGCTCAGCATATCGCAAGGTGCATGGGGATCCAACCTGGGGCTCCTGCAAGCATAGTATATGCTCCAGAATATTGAACTCTCTCCTCAGCAATGCTCAGGGCTTGCTCCTGGCTCTGTGCTCAGAGATCATTTCTCATGTGGCTCGGGGGCCCATATGGGGTGCTGGGGATCAGTCCAGGTCAGCCACATGCCAGGCCAGTGCCCTACCTGCTGTACTATCTCTCCAGCCCCTCCCCTGCTTTTAAAACTTCCAGAGTCTGAGCAGTCTGCTGTGGCATTGGGCAAGACTGACTCTGTTCCAGCTCCAGTTCCTCTTTCGACATTACACATGCCTCAGCTCTCTCACGCTGCTATTAGAAAGAAGGGAGTTACAGAGCTGACCTTGCTTTGGAGACCCTGAAGGCTGCTACAGGAATGCCAAGAATTACTGAGGTGACTCAGGACAGGACCCGACTGCATTTAACAGCAACCCAAATCAAAAGCTGAAACAGAAAGTGTCTCTTTGTAGAAAGCATTCTAAGAGTTGGCAAACCAAGTCACTACAGGGGCTCCGTCTGCCATTACACAATTCCTTTCTCAAGGTCACCTTGGGGTCCAAAATAACATTTGACCAATGGCCATCCTTTGAAATTCCTGGCAGTTTGAAGAGGGCAGACACAAAATAAGTAAAGGCAGCTAGAGTCGGCACCCTTTAAAAAATGTTTTCCTGGAAACCACGGGTGACAAGGGAGGCCCCACAGTGGCCTCTTCTCCTCAACAGCCCCCCCAAAACACATGCTTTTGTAAGGAGATGTGGTAGGTAGCTAATAATTTCATGGCTCATGTGTGTGGTTCCGTGAGATGACTAAAACCAGCCCAGATACAATGGCAAGCAGAAGGCACCATCTCGCCTCTATATTTGACCATCTGAATATGACCTTGATCTTCCTTAGCTCAGTTTTCAGGCCGAACTGCCAGAGAGCTGAAAACTAGTTTTAGTCTGAGTTAGCATTTCCTTTTCCCACCTTCACTCCTCCCTGGCCCCTCAACAGCTGGTGGCCAGTGTTGTTTAGTAAGAGTCAACATAAACAGGTGGTAATATTTCCCACAGTCGTTTGTTCCTTTTCCCTAACTGCTCAGCATCTGCTGAATTAAAGCAGCACCAGAACAATCTTCCCTAAGGGTGGGGAATTGAAGCATTGCTCCGTGAAAAGGTGCTTAGTTACTTCCTGCCTTGCAACCCAGAGCTGGAAGTCAGGACTTTTTCTTTGTTATATTTATTTACATGGTGACAAACAGCACAGTGGGAAATAGGCTTTTCATTATCTACAAAAATAAGCACTCGCTCATATGCTCATTCGTAAAATGAGAGGGGAACAGGTGAATGTTCACCTACAGCCACTGATCCAGAAATCTGTTTAGTTTTTGTGGGAATGTGTACCTACAGGGAATTTTTTTAATTTTTTTTCCAGAGGTAGAAACCAAAGTTCTCTTTAGCCTAGAAAATAAAGCTAACAGGAGAGGCTAACACTTTTTGGAAAGTAAACGAAATGCTTGAATCTCACCTGATGAAATGGCTTTTCATTTTTGTAAAAGAGTTTTCAATGTGGGGTAGGTCTGAGTCTCCAAGGATCTGCTGCATAATTAGCAAAGACTTTATCTGAGATGTAAATGAAATTTTAGAAATCTGGACTGAGGGTCAGGGGAAATAGCTCAAAGGCAGGCACGCATGCCTGGCGTGCACAGGACCCCAAATTCAATCATTGGCACCACACGGCCTCCCAAGTACCACCAGGTAGAACTCTAGGTGGCCCTCATCACTACTGAAGAGGACCCCAGCTCAAAATAAAAGCAGGGCCAGAGCGACAGCACCTTGCAACAGCCCAACACAATTCCAAACCTGGCATCACATATGAACCCCTGAGCACCGCCAGGAATGAGCTCTGAGCAGAGCCAGAAGTAAGCCCTGAGCTGGGTGGTCCTTCCTTTCTCCCCTCCAAGGGAGAAAAAAAAAAGGAAAATCAATAATCAAAGAAACAAGCCCTGTGGAGGCCATAGTCCTGAGGCAGGAGTGAGAGCAAGAATTTCCAGAAAAAGAAAAAAGCTACTGAGACTGGAGCCAAGCGAATGAGCCTTCACGGTCATCAGGAAGAGCCGTGGGGGTGC